GATCAATGATCACCTCTGTTTCTCACCATGTATTAACTTTTTTTTATGACACATTATTTGATGAAAAGTGCTCCAAATAGTGAGAAAGGAGTAGAGAACCGAAATAATTGCTAAATCACTACTTAGTTCTATGGCCTTTTTCATCCACAAAATAAAATAATATCTGTTAATTACAAGTCTATATGTTGATCTTACTTCAGGGCTATGTGTTTTTAGTCAATACAGTAAAAAGTAAAGAATGACGAAAGACATCTGTTCCCATATAGTTGGGTCTTTCTGTGCGCTCAAAAGAAAGTTAGTTCGATCGCATGAAATAACATCACGCTTGTCAAGTTTCGAAAAAAAAACTTTTTCTATCGAAGACCGAATCTCGATGAAAATATGGGCATTTCACTTCATGAAGTGGATGAATTCCTATAGTACGGAGTAGAGTTAGATTTCTTCAAGTTTTATAGAAAAATGTGTATGGTTAGTGTTTTCTTGCTGAAAGTTATTAGTATCAAATAAAGAAAACTATCTATCGTGCCAAAACTGTAAGTATGTCGACTCTTAACTTAACAATCGACGGATACTGAAAACTAGGGTCCGAGTACACCGAATTTCTTTTTGGTGTTTTTATTTTGAAACAAATACAAAAAATGAAAGCAAAACATAGAAATTTTCTATAGCAATATAAATCTATGAAATTAGGTATTATTCTTGGATTTTAAGTTTCATATATAAAAAACGACTTAATAACACTATTATCAGTCTCTGCTATTACCTATCGATGAAAGTGATGTTGAATAAAAAAACGATCAAAATAATTTCTTTGAACACCAACTACATGATATAAATGCGGATTCATTGCAATGACTATTCTGACAAATTTGATATGTTGTCGAATTAGGAAAAAAAAATTTACATTTTTAAAAGGCGATGGATCTCTTTTTAAGTAACCACTCGCGAACCATGAATATAAAATCATATTTTTAAATACCGGTGCAGATAGTTGATTGTGTATTAATGACACTAGCTTATTGATATTATTTCTTTCATGCAAATTCACATCTAGTTGATCTAAAGCTACTCGATCATACAGCTTTTTAGCTAGATTTTTTATTTGACGATTGAAATATTTATCAAGTGGCTGTATCTCCAATGTAGTTCTTGTTGGTATCTGAATCCGATGAACCGCTTTTCCAACTGATTTCAAATCTTGATAGATATTATCTTCATACTGGCCTGTCCATGAATTAGACAAAAGTGACGTTTTTTTTGGCAATAGATAGTACCAAAACATTATCTATCCAACACTTGACTAAAGAATTTGTTAACTTACCGGAAGATGAACATGTAATTACCACATTTTGTGGTTCAAATAAATGCCGCTTCACAATGTTACCCACACGACCAGTCGTCTCTTGAAGACAGAGAAACATGGGTCCAATCACTCGACTATCCAAACTAATAGTAGGTTGAATTGTATACGAATGAGTAGTTGCATTTTTCGATGGAACACGTCCTAATGTTTGCGTTGAATGTAGTTCCTGTTCAATACCTACTTGATCCGTGTTTAAAATCTCTTTTGATGAATATTTTCTCGATAATTGCTAGAATTTTTCTGCAAATTCTTCTTCTGATTTCTTTATGTCATCAAAAATGTTTATTTCTCTTTTAGCCACTATATTAGTTATTTTACGAGAGCATATTCCGTGACGATTTTTGAATGCCGCGAGCCAAAAATGGGAAGCCTGAATATCATCAAGAATTATCTCTTTCGCTGCTTGCAGCGCCCAACGTTGAATATCGATGTTATGCATAGGTAAGAACTGTTCACGAGCATTCAAAAACTTTTTATAGATAATCTGATCAATATTTTGACTTTTTTTGGCGTTTTTCACCTTGTTGACTTAAATATTTACGAAAGCGACTGATATAGTTTTGATTCGGAAGTGATCGATAACAATGTTTGACTGTTTTTCACGACAGAGACTGAATACTGAGTACACTACTTGGTATTGTTCGCACTTTTTACTTGGAAACGACGAGTACACAGTACGCTTCTGGTAATACCAGCACATGTAATCTGGAATTGCCGTGCGTACTTTGTACTGGTACTTAAGTACAATATACTGAGTATATCTATACTCAGTACCAGTATCGAAATACTACAGTACATTTACCTCGATGATAGCGACGATACAAAAGATGGTTGAAGAGAAACTCTGTTAATGGCTTAGATTGTAAAATTTATCATTCTGAGATGCCTCTACCCACATTTTTGGATAACATTCGAGGTTCTAACACTACACTCTGTACATTTGTATAGTATTAAAAAAGAATGTAACGTTAAATATTGTTCTACTTTGAGAACATCTTGTATTCTTTGTAGATGTTCACAAGATGATTCTAAACCAAATTTCACGAATACTGAATAAAGAGAATGAAACTAGATTTTGACGAAGAACTGTATAACATTTTATTTTTTTAAGAGTATCATCACTTGAGAAAACATAAGATTAACAAATCAACGACATAATAAGAACAGAAAATTATCAATTAGAAATGAAGGAAAAATTTTTAAGATCTTCAACAGAATACAAGTTATTGATAATAAACTTTGATTAACACGTAAAAATACAAGATGACTTAGCATCTGTTCATTCAGATTTGTTCTCTTAGGCGTCAGTATAAGTCCGGCATGAGAAAATACGCGCTCGATGGAAGCGGATGACGCTTGCACCGAAAATATACGAGCAATTAATCGTTTCAAAACACTTAATTGCGAATGATGCCAATAAATCGAAAATGATAGTCGTACAGGATCGTTCAAATAAGCATCCAATTCAACTACAGGATCAAGTGCATTCGGTTCATTTTAATCAGCATCATTAACATTATCGTAATCAAACAATTTGCGGCACTTGGCTTTAGGTGTTGACGCAGAACATGTTGATGTTCTTGCAGAACTGATCTTATTAAAATGTCCTGATGATACAATTGGTTCTTTATTCATTTCATCAATAATTAATTGAATAATATGTTGTTTTAATCGATTTTCCATTTGAACGGACAATTGTAAATCACGAACCCAGAAGAATTTGAATGCAGAATCGAGCACTGCGGCCATGAGGTACAATGGATCCCGATAATTTTCATCAGTGATAGCATCAGCTTGATTTAATCGTTTTATTATACCACAGAATCGCTTTTCAAGAGATGATTGTAATTGTTGCACTAGTCGGCCACAAATTTAACTTCACTTTTTATATCACGGAGGTGGGTTATCAAATGCACAACAGAAGGTACAACTAAACTTGCAGTAACGGCAGTTTCTACTTGGCATTTTATCGATATCTCATAAAATAAAATGGATCGAGGA